TCTTGAAAAAGATTGCCAAACACCAACGTAAAGGCAATTTAAGAAGACAAATAAATAATCTCAAGCAGAACAGTTTGAGAAAATATAAAGAAGAAAGTACTGATGCTGGTCCTCCTTCCCACCCAGCATTCCAAGATTATCGATCTGTTGACGAGTTCCAGTACCTCAATAGAATTGATGAAGGAGCATTCGGGGTTGTGCACAGAGCAAGGGACAGACTTACAGGGGAAGAAGTTGCTTTAAAACAACTCAAAAAGATCAATCAGAGGGAAGGACTCTCCATCGCCGCTCGGAGAGAACTAGAAATCTTGCTTAATATGAAGCATGTCAACGTAGTCACAGGATGGGGAATTGCGGTCAACTCCTTGGGCGAGGAAGTATTTATTATAATGGAGTACGTTGACTACGACCTCAAGAGTTTCTTGGAGACGATGCAAGTCAACCGACAAATGTTTACAACAGAACACGTGAAGTGCCTGATTACGCAACTCCTAAGAGCCGTGCAACATCTCCATGACCATTTAGTGATGCATCGGGATATTAAGACGAACAATGTTCTTCTTTCTCGAAATGGTATCCTGAAGGTGGCAGATTTTGGGATGGCTCGGGCGTATGAATCCCCTCCTCGGCAATATACGCCAGGCGTAGTAACACGCTGGTACCGCGCACCTGAAATACTACTTCTGTCCAGAGAGTACTCCACTCCTGTTGACATGTGGAGTGTTGGATGTATACTTGCCGAGCTGTTAACCTTGCAGCCACTGTTTCCCGGCAAAACTGAGGTAGAACAGTTGGACAAGATATTTAAGGAATTGGGGACGCCTTCAGAAGCGATTTGGCCCGGCTTCAACTCTTTACCGATAGTACAACACCTAATATTCAACAGCTATGCGTCAGGAGGCTTACGGAAGAAGATAGGCCGCGATACACTTTCGGATTGTGGCTTTTGTTTGCTGCAAGGGTTGCTTACTTACAATCCGTTAAGTAGAACGACGGCAGCTGATGCTTTAGAGCATGAATACTTTAAAGAGGAGCCGGTAGCGATCGAGCCTTCCATGTTCCTGACGTGGCCTGCTCGCTGCGCCGAGCCGGGTGAGGCTCTCACTTCTGGTTCACATCAGTGCCAACTCGAAAGTGTTGATTGATGAAGTTTTGCTCAAAATATTTAGTATTTGCTATTTAAATGAAATATTTATTATTAATTTATTGATTTTTATTCATGTATATAGTGTAGTGTATTAAGTTGTGTAGTTAAGTTTTTTAATATTAATAATGTTTAAATTAGTAAGTAATAACTATTTTAAAATTAATTTTTATTTATGTAAATAATGTTTAGTGTAGTTGAATATGTAAATATTAATTATATTGTAAATATTTTTTTTAATGTTATGTAATAAAACTTTTGTAAATTATGATACAACTTGACAAAATAAAAAATCCTAAACAATGTTAATAAAGTATCTTGTTCATATTTTCCCTTCCATAAATCTAAGAAGCCTTAGCCTAACAAAAACTATTTTGTTTTGAAATGGCCAGTACAGTACTGCAGAACGGCAATTTCATAGGTAAAGACCTAGGTATTATTAAATAATAAATATCTGTAAGTAAAATTAAATGTAAGGGTCATTCAATTTAAAGGTTATTTAATTTTTTATTTTAATAAAAAGAAGTTTTGGATCAAAGGAAACTCCAAGAACTTTAATTTTGTTGTCCTTGGTTAGTCAGGTATCAAAGAGAATATTAGAAAATAATAGAGGATCCGGTTTTCGGATGTTTTAAAAAACGTTAACATGTAACCTGTGTGTTTGAAAGGTCAATCTGTAGTAGCAAAGCATCAGCATATGTATTAATCCGTTTTATGATCTTCATGTCGACCGCAAACAACAATATTTTGGAATGTCGAAGGTAGGAGGTAACGTCATTAATAAAGATGTTAAAAGGAGTGAACCTAACAATGACCCTTGCGGAACTTCTGAAGGAATACACAAAGCTCTCGAGGAGTATCCATTCAGCACCACAGCCTGACATCTACCCTCAATGTATGACTAAATGACTATTAATTTAAGAACGTAAAAGTCTAGTACAATTCAATTTTTAACCGACGTATTTAATATTTTTCAACTTTGGTATTAAATAATAACCATTGTAAAACTAGATAAGTTGAAAGTTATTTCTTTGTTCAAAGTAGGAATAATAATGAGAGTGTAACTGATCCCAATCGAATACAATTCGATAACCGAAATAAATTCACGATAGATGACGTTGGGATGGAAACGATGCTATGTTACGGTAGTACTTATTAAACTTGGCTAGCTCTGAAGTATTGGTTTTATTTGAGTGTCACTGAGTTTGAGGCATTTTGAACTCTAAAACGTTCTAAAAAAGCTTTAAAAAAATATAAAACACTAAGATTACCTCCTGTAACGTTACTGCGTAAGCTAGCATACGAACTCAAATAAACACCACACAAAGACCCAAAACTATATAATATGTGGCTCACATAAAGAGATACACAAAATATAACCCTATTATGCTCTTCAGGTACCCGAGAGTGATATTCTTTTATATTTAAAAAGTCAATTGTTTTTATAATTTTATGTACGATAATTATTTTGTAGCAAAGCCTTGTCTACTAATGTTTATTTTCATTTATTATCATACGGACATAACGTTCCAGCCCTTTAAATATTGTGGATATTTACCAAGACCACTTAAGTTAACAATTGTTATAGTAATAATGGACCTTCTCAACCACTCACCTGCGGTTGACTGATAGAGAATGCCTTTGGGCGTTGAGTCCGTCTATATGTTTATTATTTTTATACTACTAAATATTATTAAATTTAAATTTTACGGAATTGTATGGCATCACTCGCTATCATGTTTTAGTTTTTACTTTATTTAAATTTTATTTTTTTAATTAAATAATCATTTTTATTCGACAGCGCGAAATAAGAAGTGCTATGTTTTGTGGTAGTTTAAGTCTACCTAATGTGTGACTTCTAATTTTAATTATGTACACAATTATCTATTTAACAACTCGCTTTTTAATTTTATTATATTTTGGTATTATTTTACTATCTATCTTTTCTACATTTGGGCTGATCGTTGTGCCTAGAACCCAAATAATTTAAAATGATAATTATCTAATCCATGTATCATTATTTTGCTCAGATTTGTTTGTCTGACTTTTACTGTTTTTTCATGTTATATTTTTTTTTTGTTACTCGTCGGCTTTCATATCTGGTGCCGAATAAATGCATCTTCCTCTCTTTCTTACCAACAGCAAGTTTTGTTTAGAGATCGATTATTCCTCCAACGCACCAACTCAAAGTTCTTTGAAAATAATGACGCATCGAATGTGTTAACTTTTTGGCACACTAGGTTCATATCACAATAGGTACTAAACAAATGAAAAGAAATATATCTATAAACAGTAGCAGATAAGTAGATAACACTTAGCAACAAAATTATTTTGGTCCAAAAAAATTTACGAAAGAAAAACAATCGAATTTTTAAAACAAGGGAATAAAATTCTCTCACACCCGAAGAGCACAATAGGGTTATCTCCAATAAGTCATTTCCAATACTTTTTTCACACTATTTGTTTCTATGAATTACATTATCGTTAGTACTTACTTACTTTATAAAAAACGTGTTTCTTTTAAATAAATTAGAAACACACGTGCTATTTAATAAAAATCAACACATGATCGAATATATTTCTTAAAAATCACCAATATATTGGATAAATTTTAACAACCCTGTTGGTTACCTATAAATCGCGGGTTACTCACGTGTATATATTGAGAAAAGCTCTACTAGTTTCGAACCACACACCCTGATGGTATCTAAAGAGTTTGAATTAACATAGCGATTGGCATGCTGTACGATGGTAGTAAGGGTAGATAGTAAGTGTCAGTTCACACGTGGCGTGTCTCAGGGTAGTTTCATAGGCCCTACCCAATTTTTGCTAAGCATTTATGACTAGTGAAATATAAAATTTAAAATGCAAGGTTTTTTGCATTCGCAATGCTACTGCGGTTGTGTTAACTGGTAATTCTTGGAAAACGTAAAAATGGATGCAGATATAGGGATTGCCTACATAGATAAATGGCTGAAAACCAACTTTTAACATTAAAAACCTCCAAGACCATTTGCATATATTTTAGTGTGCACGTAGTTCACGGACATAACCTAATGACAATCTTGACTTGAGGTTTCATGCATATGGAGTCATAAACAGACGAAGCATTAACTGTCAATGCTTGACAAGGGAACTATAACAAAACACTTGGACGTAATGGTTGACAAGGTCCTCTCATGGTACCCTCATACAAGTATTCAACAGGTGACTGCCAGAGGTCGAAAGCTGACCTATAGTCTTTAGAACTCTTAGACATGTGGTTGTTACTAAGTTGTTGAGGAGTGATTAGCGGCCTAGAAACAGACATACACAAACATAACTTATATGTCTAAATCACCACACCAAGTCACTTCGCTGACCTCACAAAATTGCACCATGTCATGACCACATCATTCTTCAAACCGAATCACTTTTCACACAACACATTATACATATTATATTCATACATACAGAGCCAAAATATAACAAGTTTCTTCAAAACACGTAACTATGTGCTAATTCTTACTTAATTATTATTAAATTTTATTCTTTTATTACTTCTTTTTCACAATACCAAAATACTCAATAAAGGTAAAAGAAACGTATAACTTTATCTATGACATGGAAGAGCGGTGTCTAGTAACACAGGCATTGTGTGGTTTAAAAAGAAGCGCTAAGCTCAATTCTTGTGTATTGAACCCTTTCTCAGGGTTATAAATATCTTTTCAATTTTCTTTACAATGCAGTAATTAGTGTAGTGATCATTAGTGGGCCTATATAAAGGAGCACCTTTTAGGGTAACATACAAATAGTTGAAACTGCAGTTATCGTATACACGTCTCGTTAAGCCAAGCTGATTTATTTTATTTTTAACATGAAATCCGAAGTATCACAAGGACTTCAAAACGGCGCTAGTTCCGTGCCACACAAGTCACGCCGTCAAGAGAATAGTGGCTTGAAAAAGATTGCCAAAAACAAACGCAACGGCAATATAAGAAGAGAAGAAAATCATCTCAAGCAGAAAATTTTGAAAAAGAAAACAGAAGTAAAGCAAGAGACTTCTGCTACTAAACCTCTTTTTCACCCTTGTCGATCTGTTGACGAGTTTCAATACCTCAGTAGAATTGATGAAGGAGCATTCGGGGTTGTGCACAGAGCAAGGGACAGACAAACTGGGGAAGAAGTTGCTTTAAAACAACTTAAACCAATCAATAAAAGGGAAGGACTCTCCATCGCCGCTCGTCGAGAACTGGGAATCTTACTAAAGATGAAGCATCCCAACATAGTCGCAGGAGGGGGAATGGCGTTCAACCCCTTAGGCGAGGAAGTATTTATAGTCATGGAGTACGTTGACTATGATCTAAAAAGTTTTTTGGAGACAATGCGTGTCAACGGACAAATGTTCTCAACAGAACACGTAAAGTGCCTGATGACGCAGCTCCTGAGTGCCGTGCAACACCTCCATGACCATCAAGTGTTGCATAGGGACTTAAAGACGAACAACGTACTCCTATCTGGAGATGGTGTTGTTAAGGTGGCAGATTTTGGGTTGGCTAGGGAGTATGAATCTCCTGCTGGGCAATATACACCCGGCGTAGTCACGCGATGGTATCGTGCACCTGAACTGCTATTGCTGTCTAGTGAATACTCCGCTGCTATTGACATGTGGAGTGTTGGGTGTATATTTGCCGAACTCATCACCTTGCAACCACTGTTTCCCGGAAAATCTGAATTGGATCAACTGAACAAGATCTTCCGGGAACTGGGGACGCCTTCAGATATCATTTGGCCCGGATTCAGTGCTTTACCAATTGTAAAGAATATAGTTTTCCACAACTATCCGACAGGCGGTTTGCAGGAGAGGATAAACTGTGGAAAATTTTCTAATAGCGGTTTAGCTTTGCTAGAAGGATTTTTAGCGTATGATCCAGCTAAAAGAATGACAGCAGCTGATGCTTTAGAACATGGATTCTTCAAAGAGGAGCCGGTAGCGATCGAACCTGCCGAGTTCCTGACGTGGCCTGCTCTCTGTGCCGATCTAGATGAGGCTCTCGGCACTGGTTCACATCATTGCCAACTCCTCTTAAGTGGTAATTAATGAAGTTTTGCAAAAATTATGTATTTACTATTGTTGATGTGATAAAATAAGTAAAAACTGTTTTAATTTTGCATATTATAGTGCATGTATATGTTGTAGTTAAGTTTGTTAATGTTAATTATAGTTTTAGTGTAATGTAATGTAATGAATTTGTAATAATTGTTTTAAAATACATGTTAATTTGTGTAAATAATGTATGTAGTTGAGTTTGTAAATATTAATTAAATGTTTTTATTGTTATGTTATATAGGTATGTAATAAACTTTTGTAAATAATGACAAAGCTTAACAAAATAAAAAAAGTCTTAAATAATTTTAATTATCTTGTTAATATTTTGTTTGTAATAGAATAAATTAGTCACAACCGTTTTAAAAATCATTTAATTCATTTGAAAACTGAGTTTTCAATAGTCAGATAAATGTTATCTGAGGAATAAAATTATTGTTGTCACTGTCCTATACAAACATTCTAACGCGACAACATTATAATTATTCCTCAAATGACAATAATCTAACCATCAGCCCTAAAAAATGTATAGTGTAGTTGAGTTTGCAAATATTAATTGTATGTTTTTATTGTAATGTTATATAAGCATGCAATAATTTTAAAAAATTAGAAAATATCAAAATATCTTTTTGATATTTTCTTTCGATAAAGCTTAGAATTCAAAAGTCTATTAAAATACGAATTTTAACTGACGTATTTTGTATTACTCAGCTTGTTTCATGACTGGTAGTAAAGTTGTGGTTTAATTATTTATTTTTCTTCATTATTTTGAAAAATTACGACTCATTTGTAAGCTTGCTACGTTTAAAAGTCAATAGTTTGTTCAGTGTAGAAATACTGATAATGGGGGTGTAACCGTTCCCAATTGAATAGCTATTCGATTACCAAAATAAATTCACGATAGATAGCGTTGGAATGAAATCTCGTCGCGCTTTAGTTTCGTTACACGGCAAAGTGTATATTTTAACTATTCATTTCATTTGGATATCCCTAGGTTCGAGGTAATTTCAACTTCAAAGTGTTCATCTTTACTTTGTGTTTGAAACATAAGTGTCAAACTCTAAGATTACGTCCAACAAATTCAAATAAATGCCACACGAAGACCCAGAAATTTAATAAATATGTGGCTCACACAAAGGGCTTCGAGCAGGCGAAATTCATAGAAAATAACAACCATATTGTGCTCTTCAGGTGCGTGAGAGAGTTATTATTTTATTTTAAAAATCTCAATTGTTTACTTAATTTTATGATCCATAATTATTTTGTCGCAAAGCGTAATCTACTAATCTGATACAGTCTATAGAAATGTTTATTTTCATTTGTTAATCATCTATTGTAATATGGACATAAAGTACCTGTTAGCTAAATATTGTGGATATTCACCAAGACCAGTTTAGATAACAATTTGTTATAGTAATAATGGCCCTGCTCAACCGCTTACCTGCGGTTGACTGATAGAGAATGCCTTTAGGAACTGAGTCCGCCTTTATCTTTGTAACAGTGTGTTAAAAGAAATAAACTTTCTACTCTTTATATTTTCCGATGATTAAAAATATGGTAACATTATTTTTTTACGGATTGTACAGTAGCATCGTATGTTATGATTTTTTGTATTTAATTTTATCACATAATACTTTATTGCGATTTTATGGTATTTTATGTTCCAAGTACCCCACGATACACTTAAATCAAATAATTATTTTAACACGACTGCAAAAATAAGGAGTGATATGTTTTTGATAGTTTCTTTTTGTTTGTAATCTGTGACTTCTAATTTTAATTACATACACAACTTTCTATTTAACAGCCCATTATTTATTTATTTTACTATATATCTTTTCTTCATTTGGGTTGATTGAAATTGAATCAATTTGGTTCTAGGTACCTAGAACCTTAACCATAACTATTTTTATTAGTCTGTTTTATAGTTTTGCTTCATTTTGTTTTTTTGTCTTTTTTATTTTAAATTTTTTGTTACTTACCGGCTTTCATGTCTGTTGCCGAATAAATGCATTTTCCTTTCTCACCAACGGGAAGGTCTGTTCAGAGATCTTTTATGCCTCCAACGCACCAGGTGAAAGTTCTTTGAAAATAATGACGAACGTGTTAACTAATTGGCAAATTATATTTGTATCACAATAGGCATTAAACAAATGAAAAGAAATGTCTCTATAGAATGTAGCAGATTAGTAGACAACGCTTTGCGACAATGTTATTTTGGTGGAAAAAATACACAATACAGAAAACGGTTGAATTTTCTAAAACAAAAGAATAAAATTCTCACACACCCGAAGAGCACAATAGGGTTATCTCCAATAAGTCATTTCCAATATTTTTTTCACACTATTTGTTTCTATGAATTTAGTTATCGTTAATAATTCATGACATGGCCGTAAATGACGGAGACTACGTGTGCTATTTAATAAAAATCAACACGTGTTCGAACATATTTTTTAAAATATCACCAATAAATGAGAAAGAGGTGGAAGTAGGTGTCGAGCCGACTCACTAACGCATCATCGTTGTTAAGGGTTGAATATTTTATTTGTCTGCTATGGCGTTAGATCATCGATGATATGCAACGCATTTTTCCTTAAACTGCAGTAGCTACTGCAGTCTAGTGAATACTCCGCTGCTATCGACATGTGGAGTGTTGGGTGTATATTTGCCGAACTCATCACCTTGCAGCCACTGTTTCCCGGCAAATCTGAGGTTGATCAGTTAGACAAGGTATTCAAGGAATTGGGGACACCATCAGATACCATTTGGCCCGGATTCAGTGCTTTACCATTGCCAAAGAACATAGTTTTCCACAACTATCCACCAGGTGGTTTGCGGAAGAGGATTAACGACGGAAAACTTTCTTGTAGTGGTTTTTCTTTGCTACATGGATTGTTAGCATATGATCCGGCAAAAAGAATGACAGCATTTAATGCTTCAGAACATGGATTCCTTTAAGAGGAGCCGGTAGCGATCGAGCCTGCCGAGTTCCTGACGTGGCCTGCTCTCTGCGCCGAGCAATGTGAGGCCCCGGCTCTGGTTCACATCAGTGCCAACTCTTAAGTTAATTAATGAAGTTTTGCCTTAAAAATTTGTAGTATTTGCCATTGTGAAAAAGCTGTTTTAATTTTAGTTTTTTTTTTCATTTTAATTCATAAATGTAGTGTGTTTAAGTTTGTAAATGTAAATTATATTTTTATATAATGTTATGTAATAAATTTGTAATATCTGTTTCTCAAATAAATTTGAATTAATTATTATGTGTATAATGTATAGCGCGGTTGAGTTTGTTAATATTAATTATTTATGTTTTTATAGGTATGTAAACTTTTGTAAATTGTGATAAAACCTAACAAAATAAAAAAAGTTTCTTCAAAAATTTTAAATATCTTGTGATCGATATAAATAAGTAAATCCCTTTGCAGATGTACTTCTTTAATCGCTAATTATAATATAAGTTTTACAATAATTGAGTGTGTTTTCGTCGCGACTATTAGAAATGGCAGTGGCCGGAAGGCGCGCAGCTCGAACCTCTCGCTCGCGCTACGGATGCGTTCCATACACGACGAAGAATGATGCGTTCCGGCGTAGACATCTTGATTATATTTTCCTTTCTATAAATTTAATAAAGTAGAACTATTGCAAAGTTATGACTTAGTTATTTATTTTTATACATTATTTGAAAAATGACGACCCATTTGTAAACTTGCTACGTTTTTTTTTATGTGAGGGAAAAATCATCAAATGACTTCTCCCGCCCAGGGCCGGGCAGGGAGTGTTAGACTCTTACTGACTAAAAACCCCTCTGTTCCTACTCCTGCTCTGTGCCGAGGTCGCGGTGCCTCATTGCGCTTACCCCGCAACCCCGGTCAAAAAAAGTAAAGTCAATAGTTTGTTCAGAGTAAAAAAAATGATTACCCAGCCCAATTGAATAGCTATTCGATAACCGAAATAAATTCACGATAGATAGCGTTGGTTTCGTTACACGGCAAAGTATATATATGTTTGTTTCTATAGTACAAATTAATTTTGGGTAAACCTAAGTTCGAGGCATTTTAAACTCTAAAGCATTCATATTAACTTTGTCTTTTAAAAAATAATGTAAAATAACTAAGATTACCTCCTGTAACGTAAACTTGACATAACTTTTATTTACGAACCGATTTAAACAAAACAATACTAAATGTTAATCCCAGCAAACAGCAACACCGTGCACCTGAATTCCTACTACTTTCCAGAGAGTACTTCACTCCCGTCGACATGTGGAGTGTTGGGTGTATACTTGCTGAGCTGATCACCTTGAAGCCACTGTTTCCCGGCACAAGTGAGGTACATCAGTTGGACAAGATCTTCAAGGAATTGGAGTCGCCTTCAGACACAATTTGGCCCGGCTACAACGCTTTACCAATAGTAAAGCATATAATTTTCGACGGCTATGCGCCAGGCGACTTGTGGAAGAACATAAACCGTGGAAAACTTTCAGATTTAGGTTTTTCTTTGCTAATATAACGGATTGTAAGTAAGTAATCCTTAGAGCATGCGTATTTTAAAGTGGGGTCCGGTAGCGATCAAGCCGTACAGGTTCCCGATATCGATGTACTCGGTGGACGATGAAACAGTACTCTGGCACTGAAACAGAAGATGATATCTGCGCTCACTCCAGTACTACACTATATAATAGTAAGTTGACAAAATTAAATTAGTTTTGCTTTAAAAATCTTCGCCTTTGTATAAATGTATAATGTTGTAATATTTTATCTAGGAACTTATAATAAATCTGTAGAGAGGTCAATTCTGTACATGAAATATATTTTCAAATTAACTATCAGGAGATAACAAGAAGTGGTCGATACTGATGCCAAAAATGCAATCAGTAAAATTTTTGTCTGTCTATAATTATGTTCCTTATAGAAAAAAAAAACAAATCAACAGATTTTAATGAAACTTGGTGAAATTGTTATTCATAGTCTATGAATTAATTTTTAAAAATAAAA